TTCAGGGCGTTATGGATAAAGAAAGCTTTTTGGATGTCAATGATATTTCTCTTCACAGGCTGGAATTTCAAGGCTTGCTGCTATATTGATTTTGCACATTTGTCTCCACTATCAGATAAGCCATGTGTTCTGCCCGTTGGGTCCCTCAGCCTGCAGAGCCCTTCCCTGGGTTTCCTTTGGTCACAGGGTCCATTGTGTGGCTTGTCTCCTACCCTATAATGACTTCAGAGCTTTCCCTCCAGGGCCATTTCTGGAAAAAAGCATGTTTATTTTTTTCTCTGTTTTAGACTTCTTGTTTTCTTTGTCTCTATTTTCACCTTTGCAAATTGGACTTTGGATGTATTGCTGGTAAATCAGCAAATTACTTTCAACCGTGAAACTAATAGAAATGATAGAATTTTTTTTTTTTCTAATTTGGGGCAATATTTGGTCACCTGATACCTAGATGCCATTCCAGGTGCTTAATGTTTTTTCATATTCTAATAATGTAAACCAAAGCTTTCTTCTCTAGGAAAAAATTAACATGGAAAATCCATACTATATAGGAGGTCAACATAATAAAAGGTTAACTTGATATTTAGAGATGTAAAAAGAACACATGGAGGCGTTTGATGCTAATTACACATTCCAGGTATGTAGATTTGAGAGCACTTTCCTTCCTTAGGACACACCAGAGTCATAATGCTATTATACCAAATGTCATAAATAAACACCTTAGCCAAACAAAACAAAACAAAACAAAAAAAACAACCAAAAAAAACCACCTTTGCATTTTGCTGTTTGTGTGGAGACTGACCACTTTACTGCCTATTTATAAGCTGAATCATTGAGCTTATCAATATGATGGTAACTAAATTATTGCTGGCTATTGTATGAGTTTGTTAAAAATCTAGTCAAATGCTATTAAATAGTATTTAATGGGCCTTCTGAAAAACTAAACTTAAAGGTATTCAAATTTATTTTAGAGAGGGGCAAAATTTTTAGACTATGCCAATGATTTCCCTATAAAGTAAACTCCTCTGAAACTTTCTTTGTAATTTTTAGAAAATAATTTGGCAGTTTGAATCGAGAGACTTAAAAATAGTTATATTCTTTGTCCCTATAATACCACTTATGAAAAGCTATCCCAAAGAAACAATCAAAAATGTGATAAAAGATTTAATGAGTAGGATGCTCATTACAACATAATTATATAGGGAAATAAAAGGAAATAATACAAATGTCTAATATTAGATAATGGTTAAATATATCATCTCTGTGTATTACAAGTCTATGCTGTCATTAAAAATCATGTGCGTTTCTAAAAGTATATATATAATTTCACAGGAGTTTAATGCAAAGCCACTGTAGCTAACTTATCCCAACTTTTTAAAATGCACATGTACAAATAGAATATAAAAGACTGGTACATGATAACTATTATTAATATTTTGATATACCTCTAGTTGGTGGAATTAGGGGCTTTTTTCCTTAATTTGTTTTTTAAATTTTTCTTATGACCTAATAAATTATTTCTAATGTGTGACTTATTTAATTTTTTAGTCATTTGCCAGTTTTCCTGTTTACCTATCTTTCCTTTATGCCAGTACCAAACTTGAAAGTCAGCTAAAATGAGGAATTATGAGAATGATGGGAAACAAAAGGGAAGGCTAGTCCCTTGCCCCCATATTAACTTGATTTTTACAGATAAAAGCATAATATGCATCTTTCCCCCAAATACTCCAAAATAAACAATTAAGCAGAAAGCCATATATATATATCTGTATATGATTTCTTGGAGCCTTATGCTGTGCTGAATTTAGTCTGTCGTTGGAGTATGATTTCACCTTTCAGAAATCATGAAGCTTCAAGTGAAGGTATTCGTCAGTGCCAGCCTTTTAGAAGTGGTAAGGGAAAAACAGTCCACTTAGCTCCTTGTAGAGTCTCTCCTCAGAGGAAAGAGCATGGTACAGAAGTAGACTTGTGACTGCCTAGCTGGGCCATCACAAAAGAAGGGACAACCTTGCAAGATGTTTACATGATGTTGAAGCCAGAGGAGACCACCAGCCACACAGCACCACATCCTTGCAAAGTGTCACCGTTTGTGGCGCTCTGCTCAGTAAAAAGAGCATTATGAGAAAAAGCAGGGGGTGGGGGCGGGGATGGACAGAGAATTGTAGACTCAAATTCCAAGTTTAGAAAAGACAGTATTAACAAAATTGAAAATTAAAGATTTGTGTGTAACTGAATTCGGGTGGCTTAGAAATTGTTAGTGGATTTCTAAGGAACTTAGCTAGAAATTTACTTTCTTCCTGCCAAGGACATCCAGTAATGCTTCTTTGTGACCACAAGCTAGTAACTTAGTCTTTCTGAGTCTCAATTTATTATCTCCTAAATGGGGATAATAATAGCACTTAACTCATAGGATAGCTGTGAGTAGGTAAAAAATTTAGCACAGTATCTGAAAGGTATTACAGATTTAATACAAAGGGGTTCTTCTAATATTAATTATGTTTATATTATTGCATATTTTATCTCATAAATGTAAATGCTTCACAATTAAGAATACATTTTACTAAATTTTAGCTGTATTTTGCTACCCTTACTGCCTACTGACGCTTTAAGATCTTATAAAACTAATAGTTATTCAATTATGACTGACAGTGTTACTAAATGTATGAGGTTACACTGTATAACAGTTCTACTCCATTTAATGGTGAATAGTAACCCTAGAGTCAAAGCTACTAGCTGAAGTTCCCTTCCCCAATGTTGCCACATTTTTAATCATATGTATACCTGTGTGTGTGTGCATGTGCATGTGTGTGTAAGTGTATGTTTATAACGTATGGGTATATTTAAGTGTCCTATCTTTTCTAGCTTCTATGAAGTGACTATACTTAAATAATAATTCTAACAACCCAATGACTCTGAAAAGATGGGTGTTTCTAAAATGTTCACATATGTCCCATTTCTATTCTTCCTCTAGAAACATGACATAGATGGGTCTTAGCTTGCCAAAGATATTCTGAGAAGCACCATATTTTCTGAATCTTTGCCTGCTATTGCTGAGCCATACTATTGGGGCCAAATCTCTTAAATTTTCCATTATCTCCTGAACACTTAATACTCAATGCTGAGATAAGTCACCTATGCCTGGCTTTTTCCCTTCCCAATCAACATAAGTGACTTAAATATTATTGAATAAGTTAAAATAGTATTTGGACCCATTCAGCTTACCACCTATGGAACACCAGCTACCAATCACAGACGATATTAACCAAAAGTGAATCTGGAACGCCTCAAGAAAATCAGGATGACAGTCAATCTCCTACTAACTTCTTAGCCATTCCTAAACTAAACTAGCCCTGCTAATGTTTCTCAGTGTCGCTGAAGAAGCTGCATAGAAAAAAAAAAAAAAAAAAAAAAAAAAGGTATAAAATCGTCTGTTCGGATAAAGAAGTTTTCATAATCATCTACATATTTTGTTTCTTGCTCCCTAGGACTTCTTTTTTTCTTTGCCCTCCTCCCACTTATGTCATCTTCAGCTCCCACTTATGTCATTTGCAGCTGCAGTGGAAAGCATTTGTGCTCACTATATTGCAAAGGAGGTGACCGAAAATAAGCTGCTGTGAAGCATCACAGTCATTACATGGGAGCAGTTCTCTGGCTCCACATTTCAATTCCTCCAATCTTCCTGCGAGAGATTGACTTTTTCCTTTCTCTAATGTGTTGAAATATGAACATTTTAATAAGAATGGATAAGAATATGGATATTTAAAATAGGCCATCTAGGTTGTAAGAATGACTACTTTTTATATTGGACTCAGTAAAAAGTAATCATTTTGAAGAGGAAAACATGTGGCTAGAAACCTGTTTAATTTATTTATTGTCCCTTACTTAATATAATGTCATCTGCAGTGACCTCGAGTGTCCTTCACAACATGTTTTCCTCATTAATACTTAGTGTCTGGGAAGCTGCCCTGTAACTCAGAAGTTAAGAATCATTTCTTTAATGGTTGCAGAATGTACAGTCTAATACATACAAGTAGTCAGGAAACTACTACCAAATATTTCTAAAATCAGAATGGCAGAAAGAACACAAATGATTATAAAAGAAAATGTCACAGAAGAAACACATGACCAAGTGAAAAAAAAAAGAAGAATACTTATCAACTCTAAGAAAAAAGAAATTTTGAGCAAAATTTTGAGAGAAAACTGCTATTATGAACAGTATGTAACTACAGTGATCTCAAGAAAACAAAACACAAATGTTGTTAACGGTTGACAATTAGAGCTACATGAATGATGTGTGAAGGCCTGAAGATGTTATTTGTTTATTAAAAAGAAGCAGTTATCCATCGTGTAGTATATGCTTGGGTTGCGAGTTCATCCCTCATCTTCTTGGTCATTTGTTTATATAACCCACCAGTGTGGGCTTTACTATTCTAAAATGGATTTGTTTTTCAGAGTCATTAAGATCTTTATACTATTACTCTCTCTCTCTGAACCTAAAATACATAGCCAAGAAAGCTTGTTTGCATTCTGTTTAGAAAGTGGGTATTTAATTAGTGCCACTTCTATAAACACACCATGTTTAAACTGATTACTCTTGTTACACATCACCTCCAGCTATACCTTTAGCAACTAAATGACTCTTCCTCATCAGGTATCATTTATGTCTTGTTAGTATCAAGAGGAAATGAAATGAAGTCACACCCATTTAATTTCCCCTCAGGACTCTAAAGTTTCGTTACTATACTAATGGCACTTGTTTGTAATGTGGAGCATTAGAAAAAATGAATAATTTAATAACATTATGTAAAGTGATGAAGGCACATTGTTACAGTCTGCTGTATCATGTATATATGTCTGCCCATAATGCCAGGAAAAGCTGCACTAAAATGAGGCATCAAATTTTGTTATTGTACTGTTTCTTAAAGGTATATACTAGCTAAGATTTTTTTTCCTCCCACCCTTCTTTTCTCCCCCGTTTCCTTCCTTCCTTTCAATATTCCTGACAGGTACTAAGCACAAAACCATGCTGGAAGCCCGGAATGGAAGTGGCACTATCAAAGCCTTTCCTAGGGCAGGAGTGAAAGGCAAAGGACCTGTTAATAAAGGAAATACAGGCCTCCAAAATAAAACATTTCACTGTGAAATCTGTGATGTGCACGTCAACTCGGAAACACAACTTAAACAGGTAAGCAGCAAGTATTCTAGGAGTGAAAACCAACAAGGGACAGCCTTATAAGCAGAATATGTGTGCTTCCTTCATTTTTATTTCCGTCTTTCTGTCCCATCCACCCATCTATTCATCCATCCCTCCATCTGCCCATCTGTTAACCCACTTATCTTACCTTCACTGTTCTGATTTATTTATGCTTATTTTAGTTGCTTGAGGGAATACTAAAATGTAATAGATTCTAGAGCCTTTCAGAAATTGTTGGCAGTGAGTTTTTACTATTCTTGTATATGAAGAGTGGGTGGAGAAGGGATATCAGATCTTTTCTCTACCAGATTTTCCACTCAAAAGTGTTGATTTTCTTTAAAGGTCAATTTGCAGTATTCCATTTTTATTTGTTTAGATATTTACATGCTGCAACTAATTTTATACTGAGCTATTATTTTATTTTATGTGTTTTATTATATGGTGGTGTACTGTATGTTTAGATCTTGCAGCCACCTGCAAAAGGGATGACTAATCATGTTGTATTCATTTTTACTATGAATAGCCTTCCAAAGCGATCATTTATACATTGCCAACTGAAGGTCCAGCCCTCATGTTGTGTTTTGTTTTATACATACGTACAATATTTTACTGATTTTATGCACCTTAGTTATTTATCTTTAGAATTTAAGGGTTTGACATTTGACTGTACAAATGTGACGATAAACATTAGTATGGAAATAAATTCATTCGTTCCTGGGCATCTTTGTTTATTTGCATGTAAAATTCCTTTAGACATTCCTTTCCTTTGTAAATGCTTTTAAAAAAAAGAAAAAGAAGAAAGAAAAAGAGATGTGTGCACTGATAAGAAGAAAAGCTAGGAAATAAAAAAAAGACACTACTATTTGTTTAAAAATATACTAAAATAGGCCGGGCACAGTCGCTCACGCCTGTACTCCCAGCACTTTGGGAGGCTGAGGCAGGTGGATCAAGAGGTTAAGAGTTCAAGACCAGCCTTGCCAAGATGGTGAAACCCCATCTCTACTAAAAATGCAAAGAATTAGCCGTGCATGGTGGTGGTCACCTGTAATCTCAGCTACTTGGGAGGCTGAGGCAGAGAATTGCTTGAACCCGGGAGGCGGAAGTTGCAGTGAGCTGAGATCGTGCAGCTGCACTCCAGCCTGGATGGCAGAGCGAGATTCTGTCTCAAAAAAACTATATATATATACACATATATATGGATAGCATAAAATATATATATCCTCAAGGCATCAGAATCTCAGGACAAAAGTGCATGATCTTTTATTTTTGTCTCTCTGAAACTTGCATGAAATAATGAATATCTTTCCCCAGGTTAAAGCAATATTTGTGACAGGTTTTTGGAGATGACTTTTTTAAAGCTGTCATTTTAAATTACTTTTAATAGCACATTAGCAGTAGAAGGCACAAAGACAGAGCTGCTGGGAAGCCCCCGAAACCTAAATACAGTCCTTACAACAAACTACAGAAGACAGCACATCCACTGGGGGTGAGTGTCATTTGGCAAGAGTCCAGCCTTTATTCCCGAATGGAATTATTGGTTTCTTGATTTGTTCTGGCACTTTGCCACCTTTAACCACAGCCCAGTACCTTTTACCTTTTTGAGTTGAGCTCAGGTTTATCATAGATCATAGGGAAAAGAGAAAAACCAAAATCTTTTGAGTCAAGTTAGTAATCCCATGAAATCTGGTCTTGATATAAGTTAGTACTGTTGGAAAGAAGGTCAGGAAGAAACAAATTCATGTATATCTTTTTTTAATATGTTTAAGAGACAAAGTATTGGTATTGTTGGTATCCTCAACAATTTTGGATTTTGAATAACAGTCTCAAAGTGTAGCTTGTTTTATTTAATTATTCATTCAAGGACATTCCATAAAACCCAGGAAATACTTTGTAGGTATTTCCTCTCCCATGACTGCAAATAAGCTTTTTATATTAGTAAGTATACTATGATAATGTCCTGACCTGGATATTTTGGTAGGACTTTAGAGAAAACCTGTGTGAAACATCTTGACATTGTAGATGAATATTGATGAACATGTATATTATTTTGTTTTGTTAGTTTGTTTCTGATTGAAGTGACCGTAGCTTTCATCGGAGAGACTCAGAGCTCAATGAAAAGTTAAAAACAACTGATCTATAATATAAGTTAAATCCTGCATTTTGAAACATTTATTCAAAATACATCTTATTACTATTTGATGCTATTATATGCTGCTGACACATGAAAACATAACTAAAGGAAAACTGCGATTATCTATTATGAGACCCCAGTACAAGGTGTCCTGTTAGTTTAGTAGCATTGCCCATTTTTGTTCAAATGAAGTTATTTTAATTTTGTATCCTGAAACTTTACTGAAGTTGTTTATGAGCTTAAGGATCTTTTGGGCCAAGACTATAGATTTTTCTAGATATAGGATCATTTTGTCTGCAAACAGGGATAGTTTGACTTCCTCTCTTCCTATCTGAATGCTGTTTATGTTCTTCTCTCACCCGAGTGTCCTGGCCAGGGCTTGCCATACTGTGTTGAATAGGAGTGGTGAGAGAGGACACCTTGTCTTGTGCCGATTTTCAAGGGTAATGCTTCCAGCTTTTGCCTGTACAGTATGATGTTGGCTGTGGGTTTGTCATACATGGCTCTTATTATTTTGAGATATGTTCCTTCAGTACCTAGTTTATTGAGAGTTTTATCATGAAGGGGTGTTGAATTGTATTGAAAGCCTTTTCTGCAGCCATTGAGATAATCATGTGTTTTTGTCTTTAGTTCTGTTTACATGATGAATCACATTTATTGATTTGCATGTGTTGAACCAACCTCTCATCCCAGAGAAGAAGCCTAATTGATCGTGGTGGATAAGCTTTTTGATGTGCTGCTAGATTTGGTTTGCCAGTATTTTGTTGAGTTTTGCATCGACGTTCATCAAGGATATTGGTCTGAAGTTTTCTTTTTTGTTGTGTCTCTGCCAGGTTTTGGTATCAGGATGATGCTGGCCTCATAGAATGAGTTAGGGAGAAGTTCCTTCTCAATTTGGGGGGATGAAATAATCTGTACAACAAGCCATGACACAAGTTTACCTATATAACAAACCTGTATATGTACCCTTGAACTTAAAATAAAAGTTTAAAAAAGTGAAGTTACTTTACTTTTCTGTAAAGACACAATTTTAGCTGGATTGGGAGGTGAAGAATTCTAAACAGTGCCTCAGCACCACTAGTCATAACCCTGAATGCTATCTCTGTCCAGCATAGATGTAGCTTTTGACAATCAAGTGAATGATTCTTAAATAAACAGAGTAGTCAGAATTGTGTTGCTATTAGTATATAAACCCTTCTTCTTCACTATCACTATGTTACTGACTCCACAAATGGGAACATTCTCTCAGTGAGAACAGGTATTTTACTGATGTTACTAGCCAGAGAATGAACTGGCTTTGTAGAGAAGGATTGAGAAAATGTGGTTACCATTTGCACAAAGAAAAAGTGGAACGTGTCAAAATTTAGTGGAGAAAAGGAATTTTTGGTTGTTTTTAAAATTTCTCTATTGAAAGTGGAATTTTATTGTTTTTATTTATTTTGGATAGTGCTTCATACAATTGGAAACAACATTCTCTGTGTAACCCAGGTTACACACTTGGATAGTCGAATGGCATTCGACAGCATTAAAAATCTCTTTAGAAATGTATGCTCTGTAATAGTTAATGTATGTGTAAAGGGTGATACAAATATTCTATATTTTCTCATGATGAATACTTTCCTCTGAAAGCATAATGTTCAACAAACATAAAATAAAATAAGGTTGCTGAGTACTTTTCTGGAGGACTTTTCAAGCATTCCTGGTTGGCCATTTTCAGGTATCTTCCAACTCTTCCAAAACGAAAATGTTCTATACTTCCCATTTTCTTTGTTGTCAGTAAAGCTTTTTTCTTTATAGTTGTTTACTGCTATATTTTAAAAGCTCCCTACCATTTTGGGTTTTAAGTACAAATTCCAAAGCTGTTGTTCTTTTACAATACTTTTTCTCCCTTGCAGGTAAAATTAGTATTTTCAAAAGAACCTTCAAAGCCATTGGCGCCACGAATTCTACCAAATCCTCTAGCAGCTGCAGCAGCTGCAGCAGCAGTGGCAGTGAGTTCCCCCTTCAGTCTTCGAACTGCTCCAGCAGCAACACTGTTCCAGACTTCTGCGCTTCCTCCAGCACTCCTGCGGCCAGCTCCTGGACCCATTCGGACCGCCCACACTCCTGTGCTGTTTGCTCCTTACTAAATTCCAAATAGGAGTAATTGTACTGCAATAATTTTTCAAAAAACAAAAAACAAAACAAACAAAGAGAACTATGCAGTGTTTATTTATAGTTTAAAGTATATCTGAAGAGCCAGGACTTTTGATAGTGAATTGAAAAGGTTATAAAAAAGGGGGGGAGGTATGGGGGTGGGAGGGAGGGAGTGGTATTTTCTCCAAATTAAAGCATTCCTCTTGAATGTTGATTGTTTTAGAAGTGATCTCCAGCATTGATTGTAGTGGTATCTAGAACTTCTGAAGCCTCTGTGACTGTGCTTTTGGGCACGTATTTCCCTCTGCATTGTCTTTCCTGCTTTATGAAACAACTATACATTGTCTAAGGGCATTAACTGGTTCCAATGTATATAAAATAATTTACTCTGTAGATTAAATCATACAAAAAAGGAAAAAAAACAAAAACAAAAGCAACACTGTGAATAGTACTACCCGTGCTGGTCCTCTTGCTATGACAGCAATTACTGGGTATTTATCCCAACAAAAGTAGATACAGTAGATGTCTTGTAAAACAATAGTGCTGTGTCTCAATCTACTCAATCCACTAGATTTTAAAGAATTGCAAAGGTAGAATGAACAACTATTTCATATCAATAAGCAGTCAAAAAATAAACATATACCAGATGGTGTCATGGAGGTCTCCCTGGTCAGCATTCTCCCCTCCTGTATGGCTTGAAGATATAGCAGAGCTAAGCTTAGAGATGGGAGAGGTATTAATAAAGGTGATTTCTTACAAAGTGCTAACTTCCCACCCTGAAGATATATTGCTGGAAACAGGGAAGTGTTTATAATGAACCTCTGTCTGAAAATAGATAAACCCATGCATCATGGGTGTTAAGAAAGAAATCAGTACAACTCTTCTGTTTCAAGGATGAAGGATCATAACCTAGAATGATAATGCAAAGTAAAGATCTTTAATTTAGTACATATCCAATAAAAACAGAGAATATTACATCTCTGCAATATCCCCTTTATATCATACCAGTAGGGTTGTTTCTTAGGCAAAGGTTTCTGCTTTAAGTATGATGGTAGAATTAAGCATTAGCTATTTTTATGGGTTTTTCTTGTTTTTTAGATTTCCTGCTGACATGATATAAACAATTAATATATATTTAATGTTATTAACAACAGGAAATATGAATCTGAGTTAATTGCACACCAATGACATAGTGTTAAAAAATACTGGTAAGTTCCACTCGACAATTATTTCTGCAGTGGAGTTGTGAAATACTAACAGCCTTTGATATTCACCATCAGGCTGAAAGAAGTTGATGTTTTACCTTTAAAACAAGATTTATCAGGGGTATATATAAATATATGTATATTGTATATATGTTAGAAAGAGTAAGAGAATAACTTATAAAAAGAAAAAATCTATATGACATAATTATATAACCATCCAGTGTTACATGTTATCATTAAATTGGTAACAAATGGCATAAAAATAGCTGTGCCTTTAATTTGTGATAAAGGCTATTTGCTTTTTCCCATAGAAAGCTAACATATACCTATCAGTATGGTGGGGTTTGATGCAGCCAGTCTGTTGCATTAATAAGAAAAATGACATTCAAACTTAGAATTATGACAAAACATACATGATTTAGGTTTAGAGAAAAAACTATTTTTGAAAAGGTTTTGTAAAGACTATTTAAAAATATAGGGAAGGATTGGGTGTGGCCTTCCTGAAACTGCTCTTAAAGTGTTGTAACCCTTGGAAAAGTATAAAGAATCAAGAGGAAACCATTTGAGAGATAGGTATTTAGCATTTATCATTTTGTATTTAAGAAACACCCATAGCGTGCTTGGTGCTCAACATTATACATGGTTTTTGGAGTTCTTCTCCACCATCTAGCTATAGAAATTTGTCATATAAATGAATCTTTAAATCAGTTGGCTTTATATATCTTTTGTTAAACAACCAACCAAAACAAAAACAAAAACAAAAAAAAGGAAGGAAGGAAGGGAGGAAGGAAGGGAGGAAGGGAGGGAGGGAGGAAGAAAGGAAGGAAGGAAGGAAGGAAGGAAGGAAGGAAGGAAGATAATGTGTTCCATCAGTATTCTGGTAGAAAGAATTTCAAACCATGCTTCTCTGGTTAAATATATTGATTAGCATTAACATTTGCTTTTGAAAGTATCTGGTGATTTTGCATTTACCAGCATCTCAATTCTCTGGTTTTAGCAAGTGTTTCCTTTTTCACCTACAGAGACCCTATTAGTTCAGCCAGGTGGATAGTTGCCCATAAGTTTGTTGTTTGGGGCTCTGTGTGTATCCCATGTGACCAGCTTCTAACCATTTGGAACTTTAGTTTCGCTTTTCTGCTATGTCAAATATTTTGATTTTCCATAGTCATCCTGAATCCCTATCCAACAACCTTTACAACTGATACAGCCTCACTTTCTGTTAGAGAACTTAGTGTTAATTAATGCAATCTCCCTGAAATGTGCTTTTGCTGTTCTTCCCCATTTTCACCAAAGTGAATGAGCCAGTCCACCAGAAATCAGGGCCTGTGGGATATACAGGGTCCTGGGTCACAAGGCATTACTGTCTTTAATGATTTGCTGGGAACAAACAAATCAGCCATATTTTCTCCATCAGCCATATGAGAAAACTCAGAAATACCTGGATCCCTTCTGCCTCACTTTGCTATGGAACCATTTTTATTTAAATGGTCTTTTAAATTGGAGTTGTAAGCATCAGTTGTCTTTTATTCACTACCTAATAAAGGATGAAGCCTAACCACAGAACTTATAGTGGATTCTCTGTGAGTTGTTTCCCCCGCACTCCGTATATTTATCAATACCAGATTAACATCCATTATAGTTCAGGCTGCCATAAAGCTGTATCTTTTCCCTTAGGGAACTTTTTTCATGAATAAAGATCCACAATTTAGATCGGTCAGCAGTGTGCTGTGAAAATCCCTGAGGGTGGTCTGACTTTATGGTTATACATCCCTTCCCATGCATCACACCATGGCAAGGAAAGTGATAGAGAAAGCAGCTCTGATTCATTTGAAACAAATATAAATGCATTGCAGAAGCCAAATGCCTCTGGAAAAAGCATTGTTGCACCTCCACCAGATCATCCAGAGAAATGGGAAACAGTCATTGGGGAGGTACTGTATTTCTCTTATGAGAAAACAGGCGATTACACATGATAAACTGCTCCTCTCACTGCACCTAAACTTTGAAGAGTACTTGTTTTATTCACACAAGCAAACATGCTTGACTTTTGGCAATTTATATCACCCCTGACTCATTTGAAAGGATTTCTGTCTTTAGGTACTATTGGACTTCTGATCTATTGCAGTGATTCACTGCCATTATCATCAGAGATGAAATTTTGTTTTTCTAAAGGTGCTACATATTTTGTTGCCAAGAAACTAGTTAGCAAAGGAATATTTGTATGTATTTGAAAATTATAAGAGCAAGAAATAATAAAAGACTAAAAATTAAAAGACAGCAGAAGTTTCAAAATAGAATCAAAGTGGCTCTGCCTATTTGAGTTTCTAAGACACAAACCAACACATAGTAGACATGATCATTAACTATCACTTATTACAATTAAATTTTAAATTAAGATCTTTGTCTTTGTACCAGTGTAATGTTTCAATTGTTCAGAAGAAATCAGATCACAAAGCTAAAAGATAACTGAAGTGGTATATAGGCCTCTTTCTTTAGATCTGAATTGATGTGGAAAATTACCTTTCTATACGTAAGCATGGATAACATTGTATTAATAACTTTGTGCACGCAAAAGCAGCATGAAGTGGTAGGGAAAGCAATGAGGAGCCTTAGAGTAGCCAGGGCCTATTGTAGACTTTGTCCCTGACTGACAGTCAACTAATGCCTTGCCCTTAATTTCTTCATCAGTAAAATGGATGACGGCGATTAACAGCTAAGCTGGTTTAATATATCAGCACTAGAGGGGCACTGCTTTTATCCTCTAAGGAATTAAAATTATTTATTCGAGTGATCAATACAGCTACTCACAAACTTGCATGTGTCCAGAAAAATATTCCGTATTCCTTTCCATCCTGAGTGTAAACCACATTGTAGGTCATTCATATGCTCAACCAGAATGTACATTTCACCAACTAATACTGGAGTAGTTGCTAATTCACTTAGTACTCACTTATTATGACTGCACTTATGCTAACATCATGTAAAATATGCTACTTCTATTTTCCCAGACAAGAATGTGATAAATTCTGAACAAAACCAACCCTGAAAAAGTCAATAGCCAGCTGGCAGTGGGGGTGTGGAAAGGAACAACAATTTAAATGCATCATCCTTATTTCTTTTGTTGCACTTTCTCTCAATAGGAAGAGGTCCTAACTGCTTAGTCCAAGCAGTCTTAGACTAACTCTGTCCTGAGTTTGCATATATTTTAACTAATGGTCACCTTATTAAGACCATTTCTTCCACAGACAAGTATATCAGTTATGCACTCTTATCATTGTTACAGGAATTATTTAAACTGAGTCCTAACAGTGAAAGTTTTACCTGACTTTTGCTGATTTTTTTCTTTTCTACACGGGGAGATTTATCTCTGGAACATCTCTTGTGTTTTTGTACGATATGCTTCAGTAACAAGAGAGGCTACTATCAGGAGGTGAAATGGATCATTTTTGTGGTAGGTCTCCATTGTCTACATAGTGCTTTTGAGAGTGGTATCAGGGTGTCCAGTGAAGGACGGATATGTTGACATGTCATGCTCATGTGGCCTAAAGGTTGTTACTGCCAGGAATGGACTTAGAGCTTACCAGAATGTGAATGGTGACAAAAGGCAAGTTCTACTCTGGAAAAATATCATATGTGTTATTTTATTAGAAGTTCATGTGGGTCATGAATTGTCACAGAGTTTAAAGAATTCTATGGTTGGGTCATCAATGTTCAGATGTCAAGGGACTGAACATTACCTTCAATTTGAGGGTCTTCGCTTTCCTCTTCTCAGTGATGGAAACTCATCCTTCCTAGGTGGCTAAATTGACTGTAGAAACTGCTACAATGTATTTGTCAAATGAAGTAAAATCTGATTATTAATATGTATGATCAGGTAGAGTATCTTAGAGTTTGGTTAAGTTAACTAAGACAGCAGAGAATGGGGTCATGTTTTTTCAGACTGGCAGGTTATCTCTAAAGGCAATTTTTAAAGAGTAGGGCTAAAATGATTGTGAGCAAAGAAGTATAATTAAAAATGAGTAATAGTACAGTGACAAGTTCTAAGGTTAATGCTTATACACACACACACACAGAGAATTATAAAAATATGAGTCTTAGTACCTGTCATTCTTATACAGTGTCACGGTAAAATCATTTTATTTTCAATGATAAGGTTGGTTTTACTTTAAGAAAAGGAACTCCAATTTCACACTTGGGAATCTTAATCATTTTTGTGCATTGGGGCTGGGAAGTAGATATAATGTTAAGGTATTACGCACTCTAGCAGGACTATTATGCTAACAGTTTGAGTTGGGTAATACAATTGTATCATTTCACATCAGCTACTGACTTTGAGTATAGAATTTGAACCCTTATACAATCTTCCTCAAATCCAGGTAGTGTGCCGGACGTGGTATAACAAGACTACGGAAAATTAGCAGAGAGCGCCTTAATTGGAAACCCAGATTGTGTTTTTGCCAGTATAACAAATATTTTTAAAGTCTCTCAGTAATAAGATTGTCCAGCATAAATCTATTGCGAAACATTGATGTCAGAGAGTTTTGAAGCTATAGTGAAGTGTGTTACATTTTGTTAACCAAAATAGTGATGTGGGTTTTATTGGACGTTTGTCAACCCAACTTAACACATATTATATAATTTCAGTGTAGGACCCTAGGGCTAGGGGCAACTAATATTGGATAAAGACCCTTCGTGAGATGCTTTAAGTCTCTTGTGATGTTATGCTAACATTAGTAGAGATGAAAAAGAAAGTAAGTTTGTGAGATCCTGGAAAGTTTAACTTTTATCAAACAGTCAAGAAAAATTCCGTTTGATGGCATCTGGTTTTTAAACGGATTATAGAAAAATGTGTGGAAGTACTGGATATTGGTGAAAAAGCCTTGTGGCCAAGGGATCTGGGCACAAGACTGAGCATCACAGAACAGTGAGCACAGTTGTTGGCTTCACTACCAATCATCTACAAGGAAACTGGGCCAATTCACTTGACATTTTGATGATTCTCTCTGATAAAAATAGGGATAATGACTGATTACAGAAATGTGCTTTTAAAAAAGCTGAATTTAGTAAAAGCAAGTCATTTGCTACTCAAAATAGCTCCAAAATCTAAGCCATATTTCTATAAATTCCATAAAATTGTTTTAAAATGTGACTTATAGTTACAGGGTTTATATTACTACATATTTAAGATGGAACTGACCTAATGCCAAAGCTGTATCACTTGTAGCTATATTCGCTTTCTGTTTTGTCCTGAAAAAAGGTTGGAGTATTTTTAAAAATACATTTTTTAATCTGCACATGGAGCTATATGTGAAGAACATTGTTTCTTTGGGGAATATTTTTAGTCATAGTTTCTTTCATTTATTTTATCAGCCAAAATCTTATATCAGTTTCAACTAAGGTCTCCTAACTTTAGTCAATAATTTCTTCTAATAATGTTTAATTCACTGAAATTTTACCACAAATTTTAAATTGACTCCTAAGAGTGGTCATTTGGGGAAAATTTAATGTTATCCAATGTATGATGAAATATTCAGCTTTCACAAAAACTCGATGTTTGGCTATTTTAAAATGGCTGTTCTTCACAATCAAACTACAAACAGACACTATCAAATAAATTGAGTGATAAGTATGTCTATTTACTAACATGAGCCAATTTGAACTTTAGTTTTGAGATCTAAAAATATCTTAATCCACATGCATTTAGTGACTATAAATTGAAGGCAGTATTCTTTTGACAACCAAGCTTCTTGAAAACTTGGCATTAATGTTTGCAAACAGGAGCACTATTTTGAAATTAATAATAGACTATGGTTTGTTCTACATGTTTGTCACCCTGCAAAAAATTACTTAAAGGAAAAATATTCACGTGATTTTTCTCCTCTTATATTCTTATGGCTTAAAAAATATAACCAGGTTTTTATCTAATATCAATCTCTTGGCAAAGGATCATATAAGGTTTTACCTGCTAACAAGAATACTTCATTTGAAAGAGCATTACCACAAACATTGGAGGGAGGTAGAGTTGACATGGTGAATTTGATTCTACAAGAACTAACAAAGCCGGGGAGCAAAGCATTGACTTAATTATAATCGCTAGTCATACTGATGTGAGATTCCGAATCATTGGTCAGCCACAGTGATGCCACCTTGGCATCAAATTTGCCTGTTCCATCTTTATCAGTACATCTGGAAGTCTGACTTGAGTACCAGAAACCAAAACGCTCACAATGCTAATTTATGCCACCTTAATGGCCCATGTGTTCAGTAAATAAATTTGCTTTTTACATCTTGTCAAATCTTCCTGAACAAACCTTTCATCAGAGGTTCTATATATCCCCAGGTGGGCTTGGAAACTTGAGATAGGATTTTATTGTGTTGTATATTATGATAGTTGAATGATGATTCTATATGTTATTGTTGTATTTGTTTTCATTAAAAACCCAAAGAACTACCCTTTGTATACCAGTAAACTACTATTTTTTTTCTTAAAAAAGTAATAATAATAATAATTAAAGCAATTCACATAGTTTGTTTTATGCCAGTCTTCTATTTTAAGTCATGTGATAATATCTCCCCAAACATCAATTTCTCACCCTACATGATATGTGATAAAATCCCCCATATGCCAATAATTCCCCCCACTGTAAAATGAAGCTGCTTTCAATATTATTGACTCAGAAATGTAAAATATAGCACAGCTCATCTTGTCTGTGGTCCTGTGCTAAGTTAAACTTGCAGCTGTGAACAAATTAATATTTATATTTTTCAGGAATTCTTTAAGATGAACTTTTCAATTTTAGTAAAACAAAGACACTAGTGATATTTTTATGTGACGAAAGCTCTCTGGTTCCTTCAGCAGCTCTAGGAACATCCTTAGCCGTTCTTTTAGCCTCTCTCTTTGACAATATCAAAATCGTCCAGGTAAATGTAACATTTCCAGTGATGTCAGGATATTGATCTGTTTATGTCCTTATTCTTCACTTGGTTTGTGGAATCAAAATGATTGCTTATTTTCCTCTCTTCTGTAGATAATCCATAGGCAATGTATTCAATTTGGTAAACATTTTTTTCATCTTGGTTTAAGTTTGAAGGCTCTAAGAAAGAGTAATATTATAGCGAATTATGTGTTCTATATGTTCTACTCCACTTGTTTGTAATATACTCCTGTTCTGAGAGTTATCGTTAACCTATATAACACAACTGTTCCAAGTGCCAAGTAAGAATTGTAGTGACTCACAGAACACATGTCCCATGACTATTTATCAAAAGTAATGTGTTGATTAAAGAAAAAAAAGTAAAATATTTTATTTTCATTCAGTTCTGAATGATGCTTGTTCCATTATCCCTTCCTTCTCCCTTGTTAAACAAGGTAAATGTTTTCATACTTAAGCTGACCACTTAGAGCATTTCAGTTAAATATAAGGCAGAAAAATAATATTACCCATAACCAAATCCTTGCAGTTGGCCTTTGCTAAAATAAAATTTTATTGAAAACAAGAGGTTGCAAGATGGTTGTCCGTGTTTCCATAGGGCTGATTTTTTTTTTAATTTTTAGTTAGTTCCCAAATGTCTTTGAAAAAAGTGTTTTTAAAATGAGAATTTCTATAATTTATTTTCTATTACCTACTAAAGACACTGCTAGACTGATTAAGCCTGGTGGATAGAGATGATCCAAACTTGAACCTTCGGAAAAATCATTTATCAACATTTAAAATTCTATAAGCCCATAAAAACATGTTAATACCAACACATGGAAAAGAAAATGTGTTGCAGTAAGTTCTCATTCATGTTCAAGAACAACAGGAGATGAAAAGTATGTGCACCAACTAAGGTTTTCTTTAACACTCTCTGAATATACAATGAATGATATACCAAAAATGAAAGGCTACAAATGGTATCGTATTGAAATGCAAAGACATGAATATTCAGAGAAAACTATTGTAAAAAATATATTATCCATAGAGTATATATTTGCTGCCAAATTGAAAATTATCATTGCTAATTTTTTTTCGTCTATTCTAACAGGTGAAAATAATTTATCAGGCTCATTAAATGATAAGTTTAATTGTATTTCAACTCAGAGGAGATGAACATGAAAGATATCAGGGACATTTCTCTATGCCTACCATTTATTACCATAACCACATTTAAATAAATGTGAATCTTACATAAGTGAATAATAAAAGACCTTTTGACGTAATAATGATGCAACACAACTGTTGTCCTTGTATGCATTATAAAATGGAAAGTGGGATTGAATTTTCTGCCTAACACTACATGCTCACATCAATCTGCAACTGTGAAATCTTCCAGACACCAGAGCCCCACAGATTATAGATTCCACCAATTTCCTGACTACTATGTGGTCAAATACCGGGTTCATCTATTTACAAAACCAGCCCTTTCTTCTATGTTAGTTCAAAACACGTTTCTGGTGTTGATACCAATTCTCCATCCCAGGGGGGAGCTATGTATGGATGACACACCTTATTTCTAAAAGAAATCTAGTTCGTGTGTTCAAAACTTACTTTACCAGGAAAGAAGGAATGTATCAGCAAGTGCCGGGAACTTTCTCTACTGGTGTTCTAAGGCTGATGTCTTTATATCTTAGCAAAAAGAAGAAGTAATAATAATAATAAAAAGAGGGGAAGAAAAAGGAAAAGTGGAAGAAAAAAAGTGAGACATGATGTAACATTATAAAAACAACTTAAAATGCCGAAACACAACTCTAATAGGAGACTTAATGAACAGACTTTGTGGGGAAAACAGTAGTAAACTTTAAAACCTCTGAAAGAATTATATGCCTAAGGGGAAAATAAACATTTGCTTCCAAAAATAAAATAAAATGAGAATTTCTGATTTTTCTTGAAAAGTTAAAACGAAAACATCTGAGAGCCCTGGTACTGAATTCCCACTAGGCATTTATTAGCTGCAGAACTAGCTAAATGAACTGTGACTGGCCCCTTTGGACTAAACAGAATTTTACAACTTTCTACAATCTATACTTGGAGGCCCCAGTCTTTGCTTTTTGACAGTCCCTATAATCAGTTTGGTGTGCAACCCCCAGCATGGCTTATAGGTTCTTAGCCACCATGTACTCTTTCACTAGCTAGTCTTCAGGATCTTCATCCATCTACCTTCTCTCCCAATGGGTTCCTCTTGTAATGTTTTTCATTATTTTGGATAGGCATTTTCAACAAGGGGAGACTTTTTTTTTTTTACAAACAACACCTTCAATAAATGTTTTCTTTACCAGAATATGACCTGTGACAAATTAATGACTTGAGTGTGTGTGGGATTTCTTACAGTTGACACCTAGGAAACATTTGATTTGGTTTATGCAGTGGGTGACTATATCAAGAAACAAATTCTGTCATTTTGTGTGTGTGTGTTTCTCTACAGGAAGGTTTGGCTTCTGCTAATAGCAGAAACTGGACTTTAGGAAGAAAGATCAAATATTTTTCATATGAAGACAAGTCCTTACCTATTTAATTCTCTCTTGAAGTTAGATGAAGAAAATTCAGAAATATTGTTTCTGAATATACATTTGCTAAATACATTCTGATTCTTTAGAGGGCCACTGACACTCTCCCCCAAATACATGTAACCTGTCAGATTATCGTTTGAAAAATATCTATACAAAAGTATTTTATCAACTTTCAAAGTAACCCCAATTTCCCCCCACATTTAGGAACAGCATTTAAAACGTAGAATTATCCATCGCATGCTAAATATCTATCCTTTTCATCTGCCTATGCAATCAATAAACTGACTCAATTAACGTTGATATTAGCATCTATACTTTTGAAATCACTAATTATCTAATAGCAAAAGTCTCTTTCATATTGTTTTGTTTAGAAATGAAAAATAGGGCTGTTCATAAGTTTCTGTTCAGTATTCCAAGCCAGAAAGCCCTTGCCACAGCTAGATATGGAAGCTTGAATAACATACAACTTCACATTTCTCAAAGTGTGTAATCCAGGCATTATGAATAATTTCTAGCCAAATCCTAAGAAATTGTACATGATCTTTCTAAACATAGGCTGGGAATTGTTATGCCGAAGCAAAAATGAAGTGTCAGGTAAGGTCAGATGCTGGGGAAAACAATTAGAACATTACTGAATTACCCTCCTGTTAAAGAGCTCACCTTCACCTTCAAAAGCTAATTATCAGTTTACCATGTTTTATTCATTAATTAGAATTATTTTCTAGAGTGTCAGAGCATTTCAGGTGGGTTGGGTTATGATGGAAAAGACTAGATAATCATAGCCTCTGCAAGTTTGTGATTTATTTAGCCAAAGATGCAGAACCTAAGGGAAGCAAAATGCTATACAGGGTGGTAGAAAACAAGGTCTATTTTGGCCACTGTTTCTTTTCCTGTGGATTCCTTTTAGGTGAGAGGTAGGAGAGACAGGGACACAGTTGCCAGTGATGCTTGGTACAGATATGGTTCTGCCAGATTTGTTTAGGAAAGCCTATTTTATGCTAACTCACTGCCATTGTATACTTCGGTATATTAGTTTCCTTGGGCTTCTGAAACAAATTGCCATAAACTTTGTTGGCTTGAAACAACAAAAAATGTAGTCTCTCATGGTTCTAGAGGTGGGAAGCCAAAAATCAAAGTATTAGCAGGATTGGTTGTTTCTTAGGGGGTCAGAAGAAGACTGTTCCATGTCTCACTCCTCTGGTGGTTGCTGGCAATCCTTGGCATTCTGTGGCTTGTAGATATGCACTCCAATCTCAGCCTTTGTCATTTATTGGGCTTGTTCCCTGCGTGTCTTCACGTCTTTCATTTCTCTGCATGTTTGTCTCTTCTCTTTTTCTTATAAGGACACCAGTCATATTGGATTTAGGATTCATCCTACTCAAGTGTGACCTCATCTTAACTAATTACATCTGCTAACACCCTATTTCCAAGTAAAGCCACATTCTCAGGTTCTTCTAGAGGTAGAACTTCAACATATCTTTTTGGGAGAATCAAATCAACCCACAACATCAGCCTTATCTCACCCTTCCTAGAGAACTCACATTCAATTTGTACCCTTCCCTTTAAGGAGACATTTGCTATCTTAATACTTTGCTAGTTGTGAACGAAACCAGCATCGTAAAGCCACCACTTGTATTGTTGAAATTTGAGGTGCAGGCAAGCAAAACAGGGCTCTGAAAACTATCTTTGTTCCTATTTTTTCTAAAAATGCTATACCTTGCTATCCACACCAAATCCCATTGTCTTAGGTTAGGTCCTCTAGAAGCAGAGCCCAAAATGGGCTTCTCAGCAAAGTTCTTTGTTATTGAAGGGGTACTCACAGGGGGAAAGGGATAAAGGAAGAAGAACAGGATGAGATAAAAAAACTTGAGGTCCAGTTTCAGACTAGTCTCATAAGACGCTCAAATATTTCTAGTACTTTTTAAAAATAGCATGTGATCATTAATACAATCCAAGGATAAGGTATGAAAAGAGACAGGTGCAATTAGAAGAAAAAAAAGAGATGCATAACATCAATTCTTAGTGCCATTGAAAGCTATGGGTCATTTTTAGATAGGCTGATTAGTCATTCTAGTTTGCCTGAAATACTTCCAATTTATGCCTGTTACACTGATGCAATCATTAATCATGCTCCATTTCAAGCTAAAAATTCTTTCATTTGTTTAATAAATTGTATGAGTTTAACCTCCTTTTTCAAATTTATAAAATAAGTGGACTGAAACAAGAACTTTTCCAATAACACAATTTTTATAGTAATTTGTATTTAATAAAACACATTGCTTATGAGGGAATCTAATTGAGAAGACATAAAATGTTTACCCTAGAAAAGTAATTGACATTTTAGATTACAAATAACATTACTGAATGTCTTGTTTCTCCATCTGCCCATTCTTCATCCACCCATTTGTACATCCTTTATTAATATGCAGTTATAATGTACCCTATACTATATTGGATAGGAGAAGGAAGGGTAAATAAAACATACCCAGCAACACACTCTGTGCCAAATGCATATTTATTTATGTTTATTCATATATAATATTTTACCTATGGAGTACATGTGATATTTTGTTACATGCATAGACTGTATAATGATCAAGTCAAGGATTTGAGGCGTCCATCACTTTGAGTATTTATTATTTCTGTGCATTGGGAATGATTCAAATCCTCTTTTCTAGAAACACTGAAATATACAATATGTGTTCTTAACTATAGTCACTCTACTTGCAGTGGAAAGATAGGATTTATACTTTTTATCTAACTGTGTATTTGCATCTGTTAACCTACCTCTTCTCATTCTCCACTCACCCACCCAACATTCTTAGC